GCCCCTCCACCCCCTTAAAAAAACGTCAAGACCCGATGACGCAGCTTATCCAAGTCACTTTTTTTCCTGGTATGCGGATTGTTCTTGGAAACAGCACAGAGAAAAAAATCAGTTAGTTTGAGCGCCTTCATTGAAATATCTCAGTACTTAGTATTATTACCGGATACAACTGGTTCTCAAACTGCCTTATCGCTGTGTATTTCACAGGTCACTCTTCATCAGTTCATGGCAAAGGATAATGTCCCTTTCCACACTGTTGTGTTCCCGTGCACTCTGATTGGAGCTGACGACAACTACAGTTTACTAAATTCCATTAGCGCAACAGGTGAGCATCCATCGAAGTCACTGGTCGAACGGCGAGAGGTTAAGCTACAGCTATTCGGGCGTACAGTCAAACAGGCTCTGCTGTTTCACTCTTTTCGGGGGACCTCACGCGCTCTCTGAATCAAATCATAGTTTGGACTTGTTACCATTTCTTGAGACATGACGAGATCAGTTCTTTCTTAGTTTGGGCTAGTTGTAGTCTCTCTTTGACTTTTCAGCAATTATAAATGCACCATTGTTATCCTTGTCTCGGTTTCAAAAGGCTTTTTCGCTCGGAACCTGTCGAATCGTGTTGTCGGCTTTTGCCTTACTCGACTTCGCTCGAAGATTTAGCTAATCAAACTTTTTGATATCATTGGCATTGGTATCAGATGACAGTTGTGATTGGGGGCCTCCTTTTTATTCCCAGGCCGGGAATTGGGGGACATTATTTTCTACAGCAACACTCGGCAACAGTTGTCGACGTCATTTTGCTTAGTTATTCTCGTTTACCTTGAATTCATTTATAAATGTCGATCGTCCTTTGTAATTCTCAGAATACCTCAATTACGAAGACGACAAATTCTCGAAGAGTCGGGGACTAGGGGTGTTTGGCAATGATGCTGCCGATACTGGTATCCCGGCAGACATCTGGAGATTCTACCTGTTGTATGTGAGACCTGAGAACCAGGTAAAGACTGTCCTCGAGCCTATAGTACTTTGTTGCCAGCGTTCAGCTCCTTTGTGTCCATTGGCGATTCATGTTATAAGGCGCGCGCAACATCAGAAAGACACCGAACTGAACGTTTACCGGTCATTAGTTTACTATTCATGGTAATGTCATTACTCCGAATTGGAACCTGCACAGAGATTTTTGTCAAACTTTACCCACTGATTTTTTTATCCTCTAGCAACGTAAAGTTGTCGACAAAAACAGATTTCCCGTATTCTTTTAGGAGCAGTAATACCTTGTAGATACCCATATCTAATTCCTAGAATATTATGACGATTACATTTTACGAGTACTTGCAAAATTCGCGTTTCCAAAAATGTTTCCTTTTCCTACACTGAGAATTGGTTTATATTTATTTTACTGAAGGGAAATCACTGCTCAATTCCATATTGGCGAGAAAATGATGATTTGTCTCTTTGGTGAGCTCCTACCAAAGAGAAAAAGCCGTCAATATTTTATGTGAGCGCGCTACTTACCTGTGATATTATGCGCAATATGGAAAACTGTGTGGAATGACCTGGAGAGGTGTTTGCGGTACATACGTAACTGAGGTACTTAGAACTCTGGGTAACTGTGTTTACATACGTGCCAGTCTCTGAGTTCTCTTTCTGTCATCAACAGGATAGTGCTTTTAGCTGGACAGACTTTGTGTCGCGGAATAATACTGAACTACTCAACAATTTTGGTAACTTCATCAATCGGTAAGTTGTTATTTTTTAGATTAATTTTTTAGATCGTTTCGCGTGTTACTGCCATAAAGCGTAACATCAAGTTATCTCAGAGGCCTTCAACAACAAAGATTGACATTAAAAAGATTTTAATGGCTTTGGAACTGCACCCTAACCGCCATCAGTATGCCTATTCTCCGTACGGTTCTCTATACGTTTCTCTTTATACTGCCAAGGAGAATTTTTCTTACAATCAAGAGCCTTCAAGAACCCTGCTTCCTTGTTTGATTCAGCGGTAATATTATAACGGGAGATTGAAATCTTGTCACTTTAACAGAAAAAAGGGTTAACTGCGGGAAAACCCGAGTAAACTAAAGCTAAATCAGCTCAATCCCAGAGATGGGTACGATCAGAAACAATTCAAGATTCTCCTGAACAGTTCTAAACTTTTGGCTGCGTTTGTGTAAAAATGAAGATTTTAATAAATCTCAATAATTTAGAGCAATTTTCGTTTTCTTTTTTTTATTTTTGTCGAAAATGATCTGGGATTACTTTCGTCTAATTCCACCGACACACTCTGTAATTGGTCTAAAACGGTGCATTCTTTGTAACGAATCAGATGCAAACTTGAAAATCAATCGCGACTTGGTGGTCGCCCGCGTTTTCCCGCGCTTTAGGCGGTTTGCTTTTTGATTGGCTCCTTCTGATATCTTTCTTTGTTCTGATTGGTCGTCGCGATTACTTTGGTTTTAGTCTCGCGACAAGCAATCTGGTGCAACATATTTTATTCCTAGCTAAGTAACCAGCTGAGTAATGATTGATTGATTGTTTGTTTGGTTTTTTTTTTTTAGGGCCCTGATGTTTGTGCAGAACTTCTTTGGTGGTGCCATACCCTCCATAGATTTGACTGATGAGGATAAGAATTTCTTAGCTCTTATCAATAAAGAGTTGAAGACGTATATTGATGATCTGGAAAAAATGAGGTAATTCGGTGTTTACTTTGTAAAAAAGTACCTTGAGCGATATAGAGTATACAAACTAGTAGTTTGGTGAGACAGAAAAACACCAGAAACAAACGAGGATAGGCAAGGACGGCAAATATCGACGCAGATTGCACATGACAATTCTTACTTAAAGTTTTTTTTAATTTAAGGTGCGCAGTCCGGCTAAAGTCCCCCGAAAGTGTTGTAATGCGCATTTGATCATATTCAATTGTTAATTTGTGCAATATAAATATTAATTAATTAATTAATTTAGTTGCTTTCAAAGAGGACCATAGTTGTTAATGTCGGTTCAGGTCAAACGAACCCCTTTCATTGAATCAACATTCATTTAATTATTGTAGCGAATAGTAACTGTCATCATAGCCCCCGCGCCTGGGAAGATTTGAGACCAGTCGGGGAGAAAGCCTGAACTAAGCCTGAATTTTACGACGTTTTCTTGCCAGGCTCCGTGAAGGATTGAGAGGTGTGCTGAACATATCCAAACTTGGTAATCAATATTTTCAGTCCAACCAGCCGTGGGTTCTCGTCAAGGGAAGCGAATCAGACAGGTAAACGTGGAAACTTCGAATACTTGTAAATTGAGTTCACATATGAAGCTACTGATGGCCAAGCTCGCCGTCTGTAGCTCGTCTGTAGAGCGTACGAGCGCGGAATCTGAAGATCTGAGGTTCGGTACCTCATGGGTACTCTAAATTTTTTTCCTTGTACCACGCTCGTGACAAGACGGAAAAACGTCTATCCTCAGTAGACGCACTTATTGCAAAAAACATGTCTTTTGCTTTGTGAATTCCGCGAGTCTTCTCATTCCACGGGTCTTCCGATCCTACGAGTTTTTTTCATTCAATGGGTCTTCTCATCCAACGAGTCTATTCATCCTACGAGGTCTTCTCATCATCCCTCAGGCGTTCTCATCATCCCTCAGGCGTTCTCATCATCCCTCGGGTGTTCTCATCATCCCTCGGGTCTTCTCATCATCCCTCGGGTCTTCTCATCATCCCTCGGGTCTTCTCATCATCCCTCGGGTCTTCTCATCATCCCTCGGGTCTTCTCATCATCCCTGGGGTCTTCTCATCATCCCTCGGGTGTTCTCATCATCCCTCGTGTCTTCTCATCATTCCTCGGGTCTTTGCATTAAAAAATGTGAAAAACTCAGTGATATTTTTGGTGAGTTATAATCACGTGGAGGTTCCCCCCAATGCAAGTGCATGTCTTTCTAATGATCCACCTGCTGCTGTAAAGGCTCAAAGAACCCAATTTATTTCTTGGAACACCTCGCGCCACCTCTCAACCAATCAAACGCAAATGCTCGGACTACTCGCGTTTTCCCGCGCTCCAGGTAGTTTGCTTGTGTTTACATTTCATCCTAATTGGCCCTTCATGATAATACTATTTGATCTAATCGGCAGTTGTGACAGCTTCGGCTTTAGTGAAGCGGTTATCATCAGAAAAGCACTCCTTAGAGAGAGTTGACCTCTGTGGTTATATCTATCCCCAGGTCACGTGCTGGCACAGTTATTAGCATCGCAGCAAACCTCTCCTGGCAGCTCTCTGTTCTCATTCACCCCTACATGCCTGGTGTTAGTGAAGAAATTCAACGCCAGTTACAGGTAGGTCCGTTTAGCGTGCACAGATATTTTTATAATTTTTATTTTAAACCTCAATTACTTTTTTTTTTATCAATTTTAGCGATAAACTTCCAGATCTTTCTTGCAGCAAACGAAATCGAAAAAACAGCGAGGGCGGAAATAAACCGAAATTTTCGACTTGAAAATCCTAACCTTCTGATAGGAAATATTCAGCATGTCTTTAAGTCCATCCGTCCGTCCGTCTGCATTTTTTTCTGTTTATTTATGTCTAACTATCTTTCGAAAAATTAACAGTTTTCGACCCTGATCTTTGTGTTGTAGGTCTCCGACGATGGAAATGTTGTCCTGGATAACTTCATTCCCTATTTACAGCCTGGTCACAAAATTGGAACGGTAAGGAAAAATGTAATCGTATGCAAAATTAAATGAAAAGTGCGGTCTTCAGCCACATTTGTAACTCGCTGGAACATGGTGGCAGGTCTAAGCAATGATAGCGAAGTGGAGAACAAAATAATATGAAAAAGTGACCCGTGAAGACCAACAAAAATGTAATTGTATGCGGAATTAAATGAAACGTGCTCTCTTCAGCCGCGTTTGTAACTCGCTGGAACACGGTGGCAGGTCTAAGCAAATGACAGCGAAGTGGAGGACAAAATAGAAAAAGTGACCCGTGAAGACGAGCAGTTCAGCAGTCGAAATGTCGATATCAACGCAACTGATACCTCACTGTATTTCGTGAGACGAACGATTGAACGTTGGTTTATCTTGAAAATCATGATGAACACAAACGTTTTCTATGGCGGAGAAACCTTTATTTCCGGTCCAAAGGAAGTGGAAGGGGTCTTTGAAGGATGCATGCAAACACGTTTCTGTTGTGGAGAAAAATACTCTCATTCAGAATCGTGATCTTCGGGCCAAGTTCATGACAAAGTTTCGTTGGTTCTTTTGTGAATTTTTATGGAATATTTTAAAACCGGCTAGTTTGACTCATTTGTGGCTACAATATGGAGCACTGAATTATATTAAATTTCTTTTGTTTTATTTTATGATTAAGCCTAAACCGCTGTTCCAAAAGATTGATGCCTCCGCCGCTGATCAGTTCCGCGCAAAGTATGGCGGGAACAAACAAAAGCAACAAACTGCAGGCGACAAAGCAGCGAATACTCCCAACGGGAATGCCGCTGACATGGATGTGGCAACATTGCAAGCAGAGATTACCAAGCAGGTGAGGCCTCATAATAGCCAACATGAAACAGCAGAGTTGAAAATTGTCTTGTTTCGATATCCATCGTCTAGGATAAGAGGCTTGTCCGTGTTGGTAACGATCAATAAAATAACGGAGGTATGCAGACAAGAAGGAGGGTAATATGTCGAGTGTCACAACTGTCGCACTACGTGAAATAAGCCTTATTCAGACGATTACACCACACAATCGACCATGTCACCGCGTCAGATGAATTACTGTTTTATGACAGAGCTGAATAATGAAGAGCTACGTCAGAGGGTATGCGGTCAACAACGCGGGCTCAAGTGTCCTAGGTCTAAAATTTAGCGAAATTAGCGGAAAATAATAGGGGTTGACTTTTAAGACCGAGGAACTCTGTTTCGTCGAAGGCACTTTCCTATTTCCAGAGGTTTTAAGGAGAAAATTAATTTTTGAAAATTTTTAGGGGGTGTACCGAATTTTTGGAGGTTGTTCTGTCAAAGAAAAGCAGCAAGGAAAACGATGCCTCCAAGCAACAGAATAGGAAATCAACCATGCGAACGACTCAAAGTCCGTGTTTCCGCGGCAAAACCTAACGCATGCGTATACGTTATTCAGCTCTGTCCTGTTTTATTAGATTCTTATCCTTAACGATAATTTGAGAGAAGATAATTCATTTAACTTTCAGAACAGCTGTGTTAGGTGACTATAAGTACAAGCTCTTCCGTAAAATAGAAGTTAAGAGTTAATTATTCAAAAAAATTGACCGTCTTTGCAAGAACATTATTCAGTTTGTAACTCTGAAAATTACGAGTCAATCAATGAAGAATTTTGGAGAAGTAAAAGTCGGTGGTAATTCGTTGATATGACTGTGGTTAAAAAAGGTCCTAATCCATACGATGTCCATAATTGTTTTAAACTTTGGACAACATTTCCGTGGCTTCAGGCTAAATGAAACATTTTAAAATAATCAAATAAAGGGTGACGTTTTGGTTCCTGAAATAAAAATGCGTCAGTCATTATCACGTGGCTTTACAATCATCATACGGCATTTTGGAGAAAGGTGTGTAACAACGCCGCTAACAAGAGCTGCGCCGTAATTTGGATTTCAATTGACGACACTGACACAACTATGTTTTTTAGGGAGACAAGGTCCGTAAACTGAAGACGGAAAAAGCCGAGAAGGAAAAAGTCGACGCAGAAGTGGCTATTCTTTTGGCTCTCAAGAAAAATCTGGCTGTCGCCGAGGGGAAAGATCCGAACGAACAAGAAGGTAGTTCGAAGGGAAAAAAGAAAGGCAAAAAGAAGTAAATTATTGATAATATTTGTGAACTGTATACATGGCTTAAAGTTTTAAATTTTTCATTGAAGACCACATGCTTTATCTAGCTATAATGTTAAAAAAACTAAACGAATCGAATTGTTCTGACCAAGCTACCAGGAGAGCATCTGGGAGTATGGGGCAGAATGTTTTCTTCAGAACTCTAAGTTGATCTCAGATCGTGCATCGTCCAAAATTTTTCAAGATGGCAAAAGCAATGAAAATAAAATTAAGTTTTTGCAAAGGTGTGGTTTGTGTAACTTGGCATTCGTTCTTGGAAACGAGAGTAACTGATACTCAAAACAATCTTTTTGGAAGAGTTAAGAAGTACTTGAAACCATGAAAAAAAGTTCGGAACACAAAACGTTCACTGTAGTGTAAATCTGCTGAAATTTATCTATTTTTTTCTTTCTCCTTTCGTGAACTAATATGTGTATGAATAAATGACATGGGTAAGAGAATCACATCGTGAAGCGTAAAGTGCTATCCTTGATTGTAACAGTAATAGATTCCAGCGCAGCTATTCATGCTTGCATGCGAACGTCACTTACAGCTATGTTCCAAGGTATTTCTTGCTGGTAAAATTTCAATTTTAATTTTAGGTGGTTGTTTTTGTTTTGTATTTTCTTTTACTGTTTGCTTGACATTTTGTTGTCCTTTTTTTTTTTTTTTTGATTATGCTTTTATTGCTCATCGTGTAGAGCAATTTTCAATGAGTTTCGATAGCAGTACGGGATTGCTTTTTTGTAATTTTGGTTGCTAATTTTTAACCACTCAGACGTAAATCAGACAAATCACGACTTGGTAGCACAGTCGGCTCGATTTCCGCCGCTTTCTCGAGTTCGGTCTTTTTCGTTCCTCCCCGAGAAGAGACGCTTCGGGGAGGAGCGCGGGCTCCGGTTCTCGAACAGCGGCTGGTAAGCGAGCCGAGTAGCACAGTAGACACTCCTTTTTGCTGATTGTCCGTTTTGTTCATCCTAATTTTGATTTTGCGACTCAACTGGAATGCGCCCTTTCGAACTAAGTTGCTGAGTCTGCTATGATCCGCGATGAACCGAAGATGATCGAATACGAAGAACGTTCAGGCCGTCATTTCTTTGGCTCACTCAAAGTTCACCCTTCGCCGATACTCGTTCGAACTGAAATTACAACAGTGTTCCACTGGATCTAAAATAAAAAACTATTTGATTTGCATGTTATTAATCTTCGTAGCGTACGTTATATAGGACTAGCAGTTGTTCGTTGACTGTCTTCTTGGGTCTGACCAGAATCAGGTCTCTGCTTTGGTTGTTGACCTGGTTGTAACTGTAGCCTTTCGTCTATTTGTGCGCGTGTTGTCTGATGATTTAGAGCCGATACAAAGCGAGGTCTGTTTTTCCCCAGCGGATCTGCTTTGACGGTAGTTATCTATCAAGAAAAGAACAACGCTTTTTGAAACAAAACTTTGAAAAAAAGTTTATCAAAGGGAAAGACCTTTCCTCCAAGAAAAACACGCTAATAGCTTGTTCTAGCTTGCAGTTTCTAAAACGGAGCCAAATGATAAAAGACGCTAAAGCAGCAGCTAAGCGAAAAACAAACCCTCGCTTTTTTCTCGCTCCGCCGCTCTTATCGCCGTTGATCATTATGCACCGTTTTTATGATTTAAAGCCTGGAACAGGCTGCATACTGAAGAGCGTGTGAGCCATCACACAGCCGTGTTTGACCTCGAACTTCTCATCCCAGATCTTAATATGGTTGCACTTTTATTAAGCTTTTCTTAATATTTAAATCTGACCGGCCAATTGGGTACAATTAGTCCCCCAATGTAGGAAAATACTCGGAGTACGAGTGTATGACCAAAATATTTTGTTCAGGAGGATGGACGATAGGTTTCTCACCTTTTGCGTCAATCAAACTCGCCAAACTGTTGCTGGTTTTTAACGGGAGGAATATTGCGTTCGGGGAGGGAAGCTTTTCCGGGGTGGAGACGGACGATTTCCCTGAAAACGGGTGCAGGAGAGCCTGCAGGGGATCGAAGTAATTAAATAAGTAGGGTTTCAGCCATCATTACCTTTGGAACAAACACAATACACAGCGTAATGGTGGTACAAAAAACAACCAACACAGACAGAACCGCGTAAAACACATCCGGGTTGTAAGCCACCACGTTGACAATTGTCATTCCCAAGGCGCATGGAAATACCACGTTGTACACAGAGATACCAATGTGTTTGGAGTCATTCAGTGCAGCAAAAGTGACATTCCTCGTTTCCCAGGCCATCATGGCACCGAATGCCAACATGAGGCCTTTGTAGGCGTAAACAACCCCAAGCCAGATTTTCGGGTGATTCGAGGTGCACTCGATGTAATAAGTCTTGTAGTTTGTGTCGGTGGAAGGGCTGTATTCCTGAAATATAAGAAGGTAAAGGGAAGGTCAGCTGACGATGCAGAAGAAACCATCTTTCTGGACCTCTTGTCGTCTTCAGCAACAATGAGCGACTTGGATTATTGCTACTCCGTCCTGGATGAGGAGCAGTTAATGGGGAGTACATTCCGTTCTTTCAGGTGTCCCTAACTATTTTCCATTATTCATTCACACTCCGAGGGTGGAGAGAGGCACTATAAGAGCTAAGTGTCCTACCTAGGAATGCATCGCAATGACTTAGCCAGTGTCTCGAACCCAGACATTTCGCTTTGGACCTAGGAGCGTTTACAACCCGCACAGGTCTTGGAGCAAGGGGTAATAGAGATGATTAACTCCCTTCAGACAGCTGAAGAAGACGTAAACGATTGTTTAAACTCCTATCATGGCAGAAGGTAAAGCGTTCACTGCAACATTTACTAAAGGTCAAAGTTATATTACTGTAGTTTTGTTTAAAGCTCTTTGTAAAGGAGATGTGACTTTTAGAGATAATATCTGTTTACCAACCTCTCGTCCTGTGAAGCGTTTACTCGCGTACAAAGGATCAATGATCTCCCAAACCATAAGAATTAGGAGATCGATGGAAAGAAACAGACCCAGCATTGCAAACAGTTGGAAGTCAGTTATGATCTGTTGGTGATAGGTAAAGACACCTTTGATTGTTTGAATATTACAGTCAAAACATGCACTGGCCATTTTATGTAGATTTGTAGTAGAAGCTTAAAAAGGGTGTGGCTTCAAAAGGTACCCCAAGGGAAAATTAGAACCTCTTTTAACGGCAACGAATTGATTGTGCGTGTTGCCTCACCGCTCATTTATGCAAGCCGCTTGTTGCAAGTCAAAGGAATATTGAAATTTTCTGCTGGATCTTTTAGGATGGGGAAAAAAGGACGGGTTAAGAAAAAGGTAGAATTTGCTTTTTCCTTTTGCAGCAAAGATACATCTAAATCTACTGTGCGTATTGCTGCTCCCGGGAAGGTCATAAAAGTAGTAAACTTTGTATGCCAGTTTTTGTACCAATTCTAATCGTCTTTGCATCATCTGGCGCTACAAAAAGTTTTAAACTACGTCTTCGTTGCCGTGTACCAAATTTGGAAATCCCCACATTTGTCGGGACAGACCGCTCAGTCTTAATGCTTCAACTGCATGGTTTCTCGTTCGAAGACACTTACCATTTTCTTTGTTCGGTTAAGAAAAATTTTGTGCACTCTCCAGGTCTTCAAGAACATGCCACCAAATCCGAGTGTGAATCCAAGACAAGCCACCCAAGTCGACAACTACACGTAAACAGAAAAAAGGAAAAATTTTTTCTCTTATTTTCGAAACAAACTAACCTGCAACAATCTATAGCATTGGTGAACAAATTGCTGAGAGTCTAGTATAATTTATGAATCGTCCACATCTTCCGAAATATTCGGTGGTCGATGCATTGTTGTCGTTAATTGTCTTTTCGGTCTTCAAACCTCCTGGGACATATTCGGGAACCTTAGGCCACTCAGTGGTTTTAATTTTAAAATTGTAATGTGGTTGTAGGTACTCACTCTGCATCGAAAAACTGCCTCAATGTCGATACTCGCAAAAGTGCCGTCAATACCCAGCAGGATACCAGCAATGTAGATAAGAATGGCGCCCACTACAATGACATTATTTAGACGTGGACTCGACATCTTGATAAATCTGAAATCCAAAATTAGTCTCTTATCAGTTTTGGGTATAAACGTTCCTTTTAAGTACTTGCTATTCCACTAGTTATTCTGTTGTGTTTCAGTGTATGTATTCGGAAGAAAACTAACGTTATGTCGTAACTAAGAAATCGCAGTTTTTGCTACTTGCTCGGTAAGTATATAATAAAGCGCCCTTATATTTTATGTAGTAAGTTTAATAGTGTATTGTAAGTAAGGAAAATATTAGAAGTAAGTTAAGCTACGGAATGATTAAAATGCGGGGAAATAGTTCTGCCTTATTTCAGCCCTTTCCTCAAACCAAATTCGTCCACTTTGTTTCCAAATCGTCATCTTGGCTCATTTTTATGTGTTCGTTCCTTTCCCCGTCTTCTGGTATACCTCACAATTTGTCTGTTTGTGTGGTACAACCGTTCTTTGGTTCACTCCTACCTCTTTCCTTCTCTAGCTCTTTCATTTATTCGCGGGTTTTGTTTGCAAACTTTTTGTTATCTCAGTATTCCTTCTGTCTCCCTTCTGTCCCATAATTATCTCGTCACGTTTCTTCGGTGAAAAAGTTCTACCATCGTTCTGCCCCATAGAGACTAATTACATTGCCACGTGAAGGTAACAGTTTACATGATATGCACGTGCCTTCATTGCGGACCTATTCAAAATACCTGTGACTACTATGAGAAATGTTGAACGCCAGGAAAACCACAGCTATTATAATCCCCAGGACCTCAACCGCGCAAAAGAATCCAAACGATCCGCGGGAAATCGTCAGCAGCTTGTCCACTGTAGTCATTTGGTCAGCGGGAACACTACCACCTGTGATGGGTAAACAAAACGAAGTTCAGAAGTTTAGTTTCTTTTGTACCTAACTTCATTTAGATATTAATTCTAATCTTCTCAAGCCGTCCTCGCTATCACCAGCTTTTTCTTTCTGTTTATTAACATCGTATCTTGTAGTCTCTCAATGTTGAAGGTACTTTCACATCGTGCCAAAAAAAATTCTTTTTGCGCCCTTAATTTATTAGAATTATGTACAACCTCTGTGCAGTGACATGAGTTGTTAATCGATAGGGGCAACTCTCCGAAAATATCGATGGAGAAACTTAATAAACAGTAGCCTCGATTTAGCGTGAAAAATATGCACGGATATTTGTTTACGGACAATTTCTGCTCCGAGATACGAATAGTTTCCCAGGAGTGAAGCTCGAGGAAACTGTGAACTTCGAGGTTTAAAAATTGGGAAATACTACTTGAGGTATATCCTCGGATATTCCCCAGTTTTAGCCAAGCATATCCAATCACGCGATACATTTAGAGCAATTGCGTGCAACCAGAAACATTTGATGGATTATGATTGAAGTTATACCTAAAGCAGATCTTTACCGTAAAATACGACGGCTTAGTTTCAGAAAATATATATGTGGATACTATTTTTCTTTCAGTTTTATTTGCCGAAATAATATTTACTAATCTAGAACAGAGTCTCGAAATTCCATAAACCATTTACTATTACAGTAGTGCATAGGATCACTCTCATTCTTGACCAATTAGATTGATTAGTACCTAGAGTGACCTTATGCATAACTTATTACCTCTTAATATCGACTAACCTTCCCAAACGAACTTTGACGATTCGATGACCAGCTTTTCGTTTGAAACGGTATAGTTACCGAGCATTTTGATTTCTTGATCTAGATATATAAACAATAATAACAGCAAAATGCCATTCAATTGTCTGCATCATCCATAGAATTACGTCAAATTAGAGTACTAATGGCTCCTATTTCAGGTCTGGGTGCGCGGTTTAGTTGAACACGTGATATCTGTAGGAGCGTACGCGAAGGCGAGGCTATTGGGTTAAGCTTCCCTGAAGGTAACTAGAATTAATGGAATTGTGAGGTAAATTATAATCAAGGGCATTAAAAATGAAAAGTTATCTCCAAAATCATTCAGCCGATCAAAAATAACGGCAAATTCAACGACGTTCACGATGCAGCAGGGACAAAAACAACAACAAGGAGGATTGAGCGATTTTCCATCGATTGCCGAAAATCCAAAGACAAAGTAATCACAACTACCAATGAGAACGAAGGTTAAGGTCATAATTAACCAACGAGAACTCAGAGTAAAAAACAAGCAACCTGTTTGAAATGCGGGAAAACGCGAAGGACCAAGCTCGAATTGGTTTTGGTTTTGCATGTGATTGGTTGAGATGGTGCATGGCACGAGTTTTCTGGACCAATCACAGAGCGAAGTTGAGTAAAACCAAAGTAATCCAGAATCGCTTTCCATACTCAATTGAAAATTGCTTCTTTTCTTTTTTCCATTTTGGACGATCGAATATTCTCAGCGCTAAATATATTTGAGTAAGACACCGAACGTTCGAAGCCAACCTTTGACCTCACCTTGCATTTGATGGACTGTTATAATTCCTTCTCTTTCTCCTTTATCGTTAAAATATACATGTCCCTACAAACAAAACACTCATTAGAAAGCTTCTCGACTTGTTGTCGTAAAGTGAACAACTCGTCAACTATACCTTCCAATCAGAGCAAAGCTTAACATCCCAAGCAACCAATAAGATCTCAGAGTGTTACAAATTACGTTCTCTTACCGAAAATCCGCGAAAGGAGACTTCGGACAAAGACGTCTTAAACAGTGTTGCCATTTCCGAGTTATTGTAAGTAAAATCTGCCAAAGTTTTATTTCTCCCGGCGAGGACCCCAGCTGAATGATTTAGAGCCAAAACCATGGCAAAGAGGGCGTCGTGCGCAAAACCAGAATACAAACCAAGCTTGTCAAATTTATTTTTCCATGTGTGGTATGCACTCTGAAATTAAAATTGGAATAGCGCTTATCAAAAATTGTACTGGGAACAATTGTCTGCATTCGTTTACGAGAGAAATTTGGGTTTTAAACCCTTATCCTTAAAGCATTTTGGTCTTGAATTCAGTTATTTGGTAGCTTGTTTTCTCAAGTTCTTTTAGCTATGATTATATACCTTTCTCACGCTGAGTTAGAATCTCTTCGTGTCCTGATACTTGAAAGCCTAACTCGAAGGCTCGCGCTTCCTGGCCCTCAGACCTTCCCTAGTCTTTTCACTAGCATTTTACTTTACCTCGCCTCCTATCATGTTCGGGAAGCCTGGTCCAAATTTCAGAAAATCGGTTGTGACGTAACTACCAAAAGCCTTCACCACGTGCTTAGCCTTGCAGTTTTGTTTGGACAAGACTTCTGGATGCGCATTCCACCAACGCGACTGATACCATCCTATCAACATCCAGACATACTTCTTGCCATAAAAGTCCTGTTTGTACGCCTGATATTAGGGGTAGAAAGAAAAATAGACAGAGATGTTACATTCCTTTCTCATGACAGAGATCGTGAGTAAAATAAAACTAATTAACTTCGCCACTAGGTCACAGAGAACTCGGGGAAACCAGGCAGGGCTAAGTGTCAAACTAGGTTTTAGGTTGCGCTGTCTTGTGCAA